TACTTTCATTTTTATTTTTATTAAATAAATAACCTTCAAACTTACATGATTTCTTTTACATGAAATAATCCTCGGCCAACCTTGCAACTTAAATTGTACTCATACCACGTTCGAACACACACTGGGAGAAACCAGTCAAACTTACATGATTTCTTTTACATGAAATAATCCTCGGCCAACCTTGCAACTTAAATTGTACTCATTATTCAGTATCAACTTAAATTTATCAGTTATCAATTTATCAAGTATCAATTTCAACCTACACACAAATCTTAACACTGGTTCTGAATTTAAAATGCCTTAATGTGAAGTGTCTTTTAAGTTAAAAGACTCACCTACTCTCACCTAACACTTAGGTACTGGTTTACTAAGACACTACCAAGCACTCATAAATCAAGGCTTTGTTATAGTTGCTGGCAATTACGATGGAGATCATAACTGGAGTGATGGTCGTCTCGCCGGCCTGCTCCCCGAGCTTGTCCGGCTCCAACAGGAAGGACCGCGACGACGGGAGGTCGCAGCCCTTGCAGCCGTGCGGCATGAAGCCGGCTGTAGAGGCCCACTCCACCAAAGCCGCGACGAGAGGAGGCCGAGGTTGCCTGGTGCAGGTCGGCATGGCACCCGCCTCCAGGACGCGAGCTTGGGCCACGACAAGCACACCAACAAGCTGCTGGTGCACGGCTTGCGCGGGCAGAGCGTGCTGAAGGTGTTCTTCGCCTGGTCGAGGTCGGCGCCCGCCTCCAGGAGGACGCGAAGTTGGTCAAGGACAAGCACACCAACAAGCTGCTGGTGCACGGCTCGCGCGGGCCGAGCGTGCTGAAGGTGTTCTTCGCCTGGTCGAGGTCGGCGCCTACGGGTGGCGACGCGAAGCAGGAGGGGGACACTCCCGCAAGGGCGCGTCCGGAAACAAGAGGAGTGAGGCAGCTACTGGTTAACTCTGGACTGGACGGAAGCGAAGAACGTTGGACCTACAACGTGGGCAGGTAGCGAGTCGACAGACGCCCGCCCAGCCAGGACCTCGCCGAAGGCCACGCTGGAGGTGAAGGCGAGCAGCGTGTCGACAGGCACCCGCCTGGCTAGGACCTCGCCAAAGGCCAGGCTGGAGGTGACGGCGAGCAGCGTGTCGACAGGCACCCGCCTGGCCTGGACCTCGCCGAAGGCCAGGCTGGAGGTGAAGGCGAGCAGCGTGTCGACAGGCACCCGCCTGGCCAGGACCTCGCCGAAGGCCGGGGTGCAGCAGTTGACGGCGAGCAGCGTGTCGACGATGGCCAGGCCGCAGATGACGGT